GAAGGATCCTGGATAGCTATCAAACAATTCTCCTTCCTTCCCTAACTAGGTAAATGTAAGACCAGTAACCTGAACTGTAGGTGTTATCTTTGAGAGGTTTCTCAGTAGGTTCTTCAGCAAGCAAGAGGTTAAAAATCCTAAAAGAAAATGTTGCTACAGGTAATTTGGAATCTTCGTCCTAGATGCTTTAGAACTGGGAAATTTCTTCTGCAGTGGGTGGGGAGTTTGTTCTCTAATATTTCACTTAGCAGTATTTTAATGCCAAAAAGCTTATTTATACACTAAATGGATGCTTCCACAACATCGTGCAGAGGTTATAAAAGGCTGGCAGCTACTGGACCACAACATCCTACCAGCCAGGCCACAGAATAGCCAACATCTGGTAGCGGATGGCTGGGACTGATTAGATTGGATGAATGGCCGTTTGAGGAGTCCCCGCTATTAAACTTAGAGGGGCATATTTTGATTCTTGGCCTTGTCCTCTCACCTTTGGACCAGATGCATTTTCCTCCAGCTCTTGTCAGCTTCTTGTGCGACCAAACAAGGTGTGGTCCAGATGCTGTTCACAGAGAATCCCTATGAGCCTTCTGCAGCTAAGGAGGATTTCAATAATATGGGAGCCTCAGCCTACAAGGAAAATAATTTGCTGAGGATGGACTACAATTGACAGAGACCATGTTTTTGTGTTCCAAGCTTGTGTGCTCACTGATATAGAACAACTTCCATCACATTTTGAGAATATTGCCACTTGTACTCTAAGTATGCCTTTCATAATGAAATAAATGGTTAAGGGGTGTAATGTTAATGGTTTTAATTTCTCCTTGGAGAGAATTATTTAAAAGACTATCCCTCCCAACCCCTTCAAGTATTATGCTTATTCCAGAGCCTTCTCCCCGCCAGACCTAAAGTTGAAAAATTTAGTAAAAACTTAATATTTGAAGATACAGTGAGATATAGTTTTTGAAAATCTTGACTTTTAGATGAAGATTTTAAGTACTGGGAGCTCTACTGTTCTCAAGATTTGGTGGAACTGACATAAAACTTTCTTCATGTCACATATGACAAAATAGTTCTCTTCTTCTCTCCTCGATATTGCAATGGTTGTGATTGGGGCATCCTTACTTCGTTCTGTCCTGGAAATTTTGCTTCTCTAATTGCCAGGTTGATTATTAAAGTCACAGGTACAAATGATTAATGGTGACTCGTGAAAAGGTTAGATGTTTAAAAATTTAAACTTGTTCTGTTTTTGCTCTTTCTTAATGCAGTGCTTTCCATTACACCATCAAAATAAGATGTCCTTTGGGGGAAGAGAGAGAGAGAGTGGCAATTAAACAGAAAATTCTCTGGGGTTAAAGAATATTCATGTGACAGTTGACTTACCTACTTTGAGGACTTGAACTCCTAATCTTAGTTTTTTCTCTAATAGGAAAAAAAATTAAATGCACTATTGAAACTGAAGGTGGGAAGAGGGTGGAGTTGCAGTAAACTGCTGTCATGACTGGCAGCTGGGCTAGTGGGGATGTGATGATATCTGGCTTAAAGAAACATTAAGGTTTGAAGAAAAGGTGAATGAAGTTATTTGTATAACTGGGTTTGCGGGGATATTCACTGATGAAAAGAAAAAAGGCAATTTAACTCCTGGTCTGTTTCTTTAGGTTGTTATATATTTATATTGAATAGTGACATAGTAGTAAGCCTGCCTGCAGAGAAAGGACTTTATTGCTAAGTTTTCCATATTTGGTTGGGTCTGAGTATGTATGTATAGGTGAATAGAGTTCTTTAATATCCGTGTAAGTCTTTGCACATAGGAATAAAAGTAAGTCCTACAGATTAAAAAACACAAACCACAGATTGTTATGTAATTAAGAGCTGTAAAATTGGAATGTTTATGCTGTTATTTTGCTTTGTCTTATTTTGTAAATATCTTTTTCTGGTGAAGGCAGTGCACAAACCATATTTGTTTTTATTTTTAGTATGTAGGACTCTTAAGTGCCATTTCTTTCATAATTTTAATCCCAGAAACATATTAAATGTTTGAAATGAATATTGTAAGATGTTGGGAATATTTATGTATTAACTGTATATATGAATAGAAAAATTGTATTCTTTTCACTTTATGAATTTTGAGTCATTTCTGTGTATCCCAGTTATCTTATTGATTTTCCACTTAAAATATTAAAGTTTGTCATTAAGAGAGAAGGACTATAGCTAAGGTTTTAGTGCAAAAATGTTTTGGATTTTAGGAATCATTACATGAGTATTAAAACTTTTAACTCTTGATTTCATCAAATGAGATAATGTAAGTAATTGCCCAGTTAGCTTTTGTATTAGTTCGAAAAATATATTCATGATATATACATTTCCTACTGCTTTATTCATTGGGCTACTTTCTCAGAATATTAACTAGAAAGCAGCCCAACAAATATGACGCCACACTCCATTTTATAAAGCTGTGTGGTCTCTGAGATCAGGATGAACCTGAATAAAGTGTAGGATTTGGCAGAGCTCATTAGAGCTCAGCATATGTGTCCTCCCAATTTGACAGACTATGTGTTTAAGTCAGATTTTTAAAAAATGTTGATAGGTAAAGCATAATGTGGTTTATTGGATGTAGAGGCTTCGTTTTATGTTCTTGAATGATTATCTTTCAATATGGATAACAGATTTGAGGATGATGCCGTATTTTAGCTCTGATAACATTGCGACGGGACAAGTAAATACTTAAAGCAGTGTTTATGATGGGATGAACAGGGCTCAGATCAGGGCTTGAAGGCAAGGACATTCACAGAGACTGGAATAACTGCTAACTTGTTTTCTACTTCAGGTAGCAGATCATTACAGAGAAACAGAGTAAAAGAAAAGGTCATGAACACATTTGCTCTCTGTCACTTCCTTTCCATTTTCACAGTGACTCAGTTGAGACATTTGTCTCTGTACTCCGGATCCCTATATTGCTTCTGACTAGTTTCCAGGTTCCATTTTCTTTTCTCTTATTTTTAAGGTCTCTTTTACAAAGGAAGTTTCTCTGCAATACTGTTTCAGGGGAAAGGGCACTGACTTTGACCTCACACACACTCAGTATGAACCCTCCTCTGTCATTTACTAAAGACATCTGAGTGACTTGACCACTCGGGACCTTGTTTATGTGACATGTGGGCAATAATACATAAATTGTAGAATTGTAACTATTAGAAATAATGCATACAAATGATTTAGTGTGGAACCTGGCCCTTAGGTGATGCTCAATAAATGGTCTTAGTCATAGTATTTAATTTGAAACATACATATGCACCAAAATCAAAACAATGATTCCTTATCATCCACAAGCTGAAGTTCAAACACCTTAGTTTTCCATTCTTTCTGGCCCTAACTCACCTTCCTACCCTTATTTTTCTTTTCTTTTTTTTAATTATAAATTGTTTGCTTCCCCCTTGCCATATAAGATTACTCTGTTCTTTCCTACTTCACACTGGAATGATTTTTCTCCCCCTTCACACTTCTCCCCCTGCATTCCTTCCTCCCCAAGACCATAGTGGTGGGAGGATGGGCTTTCGGGTCAAACTTGATTTTGAGCCTAGATCTGCCACTAGTTGGGTGACTCGGAGAAATTACTAAACTTCTGTGGGTCTCAGTGATCATCAGTGAAACAGATTCTTGTCTATAAAATTGGGGTTTTAAAGGTGTCTTTCTTGTAGCTCGTGGAGATTACATACAAGGTGCCCCATAGTGTTTGGCAAATAGTAAGTGGCCACCACAGGGGGCCTGTTTGTTTTCCCATCCTGCAGTGGCCCCATCTGTGTCAGTCTCACCTCTCCCATGAGGCCTTTTGCCATCCTTAGATGAAGGGGTGCCTTGCATTCTTAAAGTTTTTCATCTTTCATGACCAATGCTGCTCACTTATATATATCACTTAGTGCCAGTCTTCCATTCTATATATTTTCATTTGTAAATGTATATAAGATCCTTGAGACTGAGATTGAATTTAATAACCAGAGCCAACACTTCCTGAGTGTAAACTGAGTGCTAAATGTGTGTACAGATTTATCTCATTCATCCTCTCAACAACCTCATGACGTGGTACTGTTGTTAGCCTCAGTTTACTGGTGAGGAAAACGAGGCACAGAGAGGTTAAGGATCTTGCCTATTGTCACTGTTTAGCAGACTGAGGAATAGGAATTGGAACCCAAGTTGTTCTGATTCCAAAGCTCAAAGTCATGGCTTTGCTGCTTTACAGACTCATTTTTCTCAGTCACTGTGGTCCCACCACTGTGTCTCATTTCTAATCAGGGCTTTGTGAGCTGCTTGCTCCTCGAAACTCCATTTATCAGTCCCATGCTTTAATCGAGAGTATTTGAAGCAGATCACTAGAACTCTGTCTAGAAATGGAACCGTGTTCAAGTTCACTTTTGGATCATCACTGGCTTTGAAACAATGACCTAAAACAAAGATCTATTAGAGATATTTTTTAAAAAATTTAAGTTTCAATTGTGACATGGCTAAAATAATCTGTACTGCAAATAAAATTGAACTTGTATTTTAAGAGAGGAGTCTACAGGCATGATTGGACCAGGGGTGTTGGGCAAACAGGTTCACAGGAAGGCTTGGAGATGTGCTTTCATATTCTTTAGTCCCTTGATGAGTTCGAAACTGGTAAACTATAAGGAATCAAACCCATATTGAGTTGAGTGCCTGCTCTATATTAGACATACTGTA